GATCGTAACAGGCAAAGATATCTTAATTCTCATAAATAAAAGCTATGAGTTGTGTTTTACAACACCTTTGCCAATGAAATCTCTCTGGTATAAAGCAACATGACATTCATTCATGAAAAAAAAAATAGAGAAATGACTAATTCTTCTTTTATACTACTAAATTTTATACTACTAAAATTTAATACTAAATTTTCCCAAATTGGGCAGGTATAAATTCAATACATGTGTCTATACACATGGAAACTTCTTTCCTAATATTGTTTTAAAATATTTGAACAAATGGGTCCATGTAATATAATCACAGACTTCTGAAAATACAGGAAATCTTGATAAGTCAGTAGGCCAGATTTCATAGTACCAAATACATTGATGAATGTTCAAAAGAAAATCACAATACACTGACAGCCTGGAGAGGGAAATCTTACAATGTTCTGTAAAGCAGTTTAATAAAAAATTTCAGCTAGAACCAAGGACAGAAATTGGTGGGGTAGAAATTCCAAAATGGATCTGATTAACAGATAGTTTCCAACTTTTCCCTGTCAGTCACTTTCCCCATTAATGATGACAAGATCGTCAGGGGCTACACCTGTGAGGAGAATTCTGTCCCCTATCAGGTGTCCCTGAACTCTGGCTACCACTTCTGCTGCGGCTCCCTCATCAACGACGAGTGGGTGGTATCCGCGGCTCATTGCTACGAACTGTAAGTGACCAATGCTCACTTTCCTATGCTGTAAGATCAATTTATCCTCTAACCCCGTCAAAGACAATCAGAGTGAAATATGGACATAAGCTTGAGGGGTGAGACATTCAGCTCTTAAGAGACACTTTATTCTCTCAAGCATTGTATGATGTACCAAGGGACTTTTGCATGGAGAGGTACCCTTTAGAGTTCCCTGATGTCTTCCCAAATGGTGGCACTGAAGGCATGGAAGGGAAATAGTAAGTGGTGAAGTATCTGGAGACTTAGTTTAAGAGATGAATTAGAACACAGTCCTAATCATTGTATCTCAGCCAGAAAAAATGGCATATGGAGGTAATAAAACACACAAAATTTCCTATGCAATACAAAAAATAAGCATGATTCATTTTTCTCTTAATACTCTGCCAAATCTCTGACTCCTGCCTCACCTCCCTGTGATAATTGGTGATCCCAACCAGTGGAAAATTACAGGAGCTGATCAATCTCCACTAATTCCTTTTTTATCTGCTACTGCTTCATTGGGGTCACTGGGGTCCATTCCTATTCCTTACTATTGTAACAAGACGGCAGGCTGGGTCTGTACTTTCAGGAACATTTCCCTAAGGAATACCCTAACCTGCACCACGTGTGACAGTGCACAATGGTACCTTAAATGCACAATTACCTGTGAGAGTGAATGCTTGAAGAGGATGGTGTCTGTGTTTATGCTCATACTTTGGGGGTCGGGGAAATGGAAGGACCTCAAGTTGGACACTCAGGGAAATTTTAATATTTTAATTTAGCCGAATCCAGGTGCGTCTGGGAGAACACAATATTGATGTCACTGAGGGCAATGAGCAATTCATTAATGCAGCCAAGATCATCGTCCACCCTGAATACAATGAAGGGACCATTGATAATGACATTATGCTAATTAAGCTGAGCTCACCCGCCAAGATCAACTCTCAAGTGTCCACGATTTCTCTGCCAAGATCCTGTGCAGCTGTTGGTACTGAGTGCCTTATCTCTGGCTGGGGCAACACCCTGAGCTTTGGCGGTAAGTGTCAGCTGGAACAGAAGTACCACGTCTGAGGATCCGAGACGTGAAAGGCATGTTGAGGGTCAGTTAGTCTAAATTTTCACTCAAGGTATGGTTCCCAGAGGATAGCTTTTAGATATATAGAGTCTTAGAACACATGATTGAAAAGGGGAAGATACCCTTTCTGGGACCATGCAAAAGATACAATAAAAATGATCTATTACAAAGATGTCAAGTTATTTTACTGAAGTATAACTAGTGATGTGCAGAGAACTCGAAACTGAGGAGTAAACAGAACAGAGGCTAAGGGATTTGGCACTGCCGGAAGCATATAGACACTTGACACATAATCTTTAGATTTAAGATTTGTGGTCACTGATGCTAGTGTGAGAGAAAGAACAACTCATTGACAAGAACTATTTGGAAAATCTTCCAGAAAAAAGGTTGTTTTCCCAACCTAGAAGTCATTGGCAAATTGAGAGAAAGAGTGGGAGAATGGGAAAGAAGAGAGAGATATTAAGAAATGAATTTCCAGGAACCCTGTTGGTAATCTTCCATTTGCATTCTTGCATTCAACAGTCAGCTACCCTGATGTACTGCAGTGTCTGGAGGCTCCCATCCTCTCTGACACCACCTGCCACAACGCCTACCCAGGCCAGATTACTAGCAATATGTTCTGCCTGGGCTTCCTGGAGGGTGGAAAGGACTCTTGCCAGGTTAGTGT